CAGGGTGTAAACTAGGAATATATTTTTTTACCATGTTTTTGTGAGATAGGCAATACTTGTTATTGTTCTACAAAATATTCTGAGTTCTTATTGATAATGCCCTATTACTTAAAAAATATAATGATAATAATAAAAAAAGGTCATTGAATTTTAAAACCATTGGAAATTACATGGTGCCATTAGGCTGGCTAACACCCTGTATATGTGTTTACATATATATATATATATATATATATATATATATATATATATATATATATATATATATATATATATATATATATATATATATACATATTTATATATATAAAAATCAGGGTGTTAGTAAGCCTGATAGCGCCGCATATAAGGCGGAATAGTTTAAATAGTTTAAAATTCCCAATGATTCAAAAGATCATAGTAAAAAAAAACCTTTATCAGGCTAAGATTTAAGTGTTACAATAAACTCGTAGAAAACATAATTAGTACGCATGATGAAGAAATGAATTAAGTTGATTTAATTTAATGTGAAAAAAGCGTTGTCATTAAGAAGCAAGATCTTTTAAATGAAAGATCATTCATTTGAAAATTAAAAAAAAAAGCTTTATTTTTTAATTGAAGCCAGTTATTCTTTAGTCTGGATTTTTCAATGTATTTAAAATGATCCCATAGTACCAAGACAAGTTGTGTTCTTTTGAGTAAAACCAAATAATAAACATACCAAGAAAAACTTTAGAGTTTTGCTCGAAGCTTGGCATCTTCATACTAGTGTGTTTTTTCATGTCTTTAAAGTATATGCTGCAATCCGCAGACTTTATTCAAGCATATTTAATTTCAAAGAGTTTTAGTATTAAAAACAACGTCATTGAAGGATTTTTTTTTGAAATTTTTTTTTGAAAAATGTAATTTTTTTTTTTTTTAATAATATTATTTGTTTTATTTCATTTTTTAAATAAGCGTTTATCATCAATCGTATGACTTTCCTAAGAATTTTATAGGAAGCTAAACATAATAATTTTTTTTTATAGAGCGCAAAAACCAAATAAAATTAGGATTTTTATGTTAAAATATAATAAATATAATAAATATTCTATTAAATATAATAAATATTCAAAAGCGTTAATCACCTTATTATATATTCTAAATCTTTTTTCTTTATATGTAAACAATGTAAACTTTTTTTCTAGTTTATCTAAACTGTTTATTGCTGTTTTTTTCCTCCTTATAAAATGACATTTTACAAATTCTAAGATTTTGATTAATAAATAATTTTGGTAAACAAGATTATTAGAGATATTTTAAAATTCTTTAGTTTTTAGTTGGAAAATATTTATGGAACTTACATTTAACAAATTTACAGACAGCTTTTTTATTAATGCAATAATTAATGTTTATGGCAATAATTAAAATGTCAATGTGTTGCAGCCCACATTTAATAAAAAATAATACATTTAATATTAACCAATTTATGCCATATTTGGCAATTATTTTACATTAAAACATGTTTCTTAACATTACAAATCAAAAAACCAAAATTGACAACAAAAAGTTTTTCATTAAACTATTTTAATTTTAAAATTAATTCAAAAATGCTTCACTGTTTTGCAATCTTTAGCAATAATTGTTCAATTTTAAAAATAAAATAAAATAAGCAATATATGTTTTACAGAATAAATTTCACATTTAAAATATATTCTTGCATGATTAAATAAGAATTTCAAGGATATTGATGAAACATTTAGCAAATAAATGTTGTTAATTAAACTTTTATAAGGGTAAATAATACAAAATATTTTTTTTTAACAGAATCTTGATAAGGATAATAATAATTAAATAACAATAAGTCTAACAAAAAACTAATTTATAGCAATAGACAAGCTTAAAATACCAGATATATGTTATTCATATATTAGTGTGAACTTCACGAAATTTAAAAAATAAAATAACTAAAGAAATTCTATAGTAATAAGTAAATTCATTAGTAGTAAGTCTATAGTAACAAATTCTTTAGTAACTTTAAATGAAAAAAAAAAAAAAAAAACAATTCTATTTTTTTTAAAAAAATAATTAAATAAAATAAACAAAATTTAGAAAATAAAATAACTAAAAAAATTCTATAGTAATTAAGACATGTACCAGAAAAAATCTGCATGTGTTCTGATGTGGTGTTTACAGAAACCGTATGTCATTTTAAACAGCTAAATGTTTTAAAATCTCATTGTATTAGTGTTGTTCAAAATTTAAACAACTCTGTAATCAAAACAATTAGTTTTAATTAAAATGTAATCAAATCAAGATAAGAAGTGAGAAAATATTTTGCATTTTCTCGTTAAAAATTCTGGTGTATGAAACAAAACAATTTCTAAAGAGTTGCAGATCGCTATGAGAACAGTGCAGAGCATTGTGAAACGATTTAAGGACACTGGTACAATCAAAAGGAAATCAGGAAGTGAAAGAAAAAAATGTTTTGTTAGACGAGATCTTGGTAAGAAAAATGAAAGATGCCTTAGACAGAAAACCGGAGATTTCTGTTTGAACTTTAGCAAATAAATTTAAGACAAGTGCTTCCACTATACAAAGAGTGAAGAGAAATTGTGGCTATAAATCTTATAAAAAGAAAAAAGTTCCTCATTGTGAAGAAAAGCAAGAAAATGTAAATTTATAATTATTTTTAAATTTATATTTTTTAACTTGTCAACGTTTTCTAAATATATTATAGATTTTATTAGTATATTCTTATTTTTTATATATAAGGGATGTATTTTTTATGTATGTAATGTATTTTTATGTATCTAATGTATTTTTATTTATGTAATTTTATGTATGTGTACTTTATTCAAATGTAATCTTTTGAAGCAATTTGTGCTATTGATTTTGTAAACAAAAATACTTTCAATAATAACTGCGTTTTCAATGAAATTATTAATAATTGTCAAAATTAATACAGAAAATTTTAACCACAAATACATTTTCTTCAGTGTACCCGATAACTGATTCTTTCTCCCAAGAAAGAAAAGTTTTTAAGTTCTTAGAAATTGATTTACTAACTTCAACTATTTTTGCTTCAGCCATTCTTACAAACTCGTTACACTTAAAGTTACTTTTTCTGTTTTAAATACTAGTTAAAATTATAAAGTCCACTCACTAAACATCACCAGCGGTATTTGAAGCAGTTCCGCTTACTCCTCACAAAGTAATTTAACGTTTTTTGTTAATTTCAATCTAGCTAAATGAATTTCTACAGTAACTCAATGATATAATTATTTCATTTGTTTATCTTACTAAGAAGAATTGTTTCAAATGTGTTGAACTTTTTAAACTACGCAAAGCATAAAACAGTTATTGAAAAAACGTTTTTATTTATAAATAAATCATCTGGTTGAATCTTGTTGGACTTTTGAGGGCCAGGGGCTGCATTATTTTGGCAGCCTTTTTATGTGCCACAGCGTAAAAATGACTAAAAAAAATACTGAATTGCCCTTTTGAATATATCCCCTAACACTGTGAGTCCCAGGGCTACAGCCCTTTTACCCCACCTCACCTCCTCAATCCAGCAGTGTAAATAAGACATAAGTATATAAATAAAAATTATATATACTCTTTGATAAATCGAAGAACATTTGTTTCTTTATAGTTGTTACTTTATATAAAAAATGTCGCTTAATTTTATAAAAAAGTTATAAAAGAGCGATGTTTCAAAAATAATTGCTTTAATAAATTTATTTTGCTTAAAGTTTTTTCGCGTTAAAAGCTATTTTTCTTTTTTTAACTGTCTCTCATCGGTCCAGTTAATCTTAATGTGCTTTTTTGTTTGTTTTTGAAATGTTCTCCTGACCAAACCTGATATAGATATATATATATATATATATCAGGCCTTGCGATAAAGCATCGGGCGATGTGAATTTTACGTCGTCCAAGAGCGATTTTGCGTGTAGCTAGGGCTATTTCCGTATATATATATATATATATATATATATATATATATATATATATATATATATATATATATATATATATATATATATATATATATATATATATATATATATATATGTATATATATATATATATGTATATATATATATATATATATATATAGCTTTTAACGCGAATATATATATATATATATATATATATATATATATATATATATATATATATATATATATATATGTATAAACATATGTATATATATCTACATCTATATCTATATATATCTATCTATCTATATATATATATATATATATATATATATATATATATATATATATATATATATATATATATATATATATATATATATATATATATATATATATATATATATATATATATATATATATACATATGTATATATATATATATGTATATATATGTATAAATATATGTATATATATATATCTATATATCTATCTATCTATCTATCTATCTATATATATATATATATATATATATATATATATATATATATATATATATATATATATATATATATATAAAAAAATATATATATATATATATATATATAATAAATAAAAAAATGCTTCATAAATTTATTAAGCATTTTTATATTTTTTAATAATTTCAATTTTTTTTACATTATTTTGTTTTCCAATAAGCGGTTAGTATAATAAATAAGTTGTTATACATTATGAAAATTATAATCTTGTTATTACAAAAAAAACTTTAATAACTTTTAACACTTTTCAACCTTAAATTTTTTATAATTTTGTAAAGTAAATTATTGTTAATTTTTGTAAACTTTGCAAATCAATGTTATGAAATATATAGTTTAGATAAAAAATCTGTTACCATTTTAAAAAATTAAGAATTGACTGCTAATTGCTAAAACGCTGATAATTGCTACCACTGACTTTTCATTAAAATAATGGTATTTACTACCATGCAACTTATGTCTTAACAAATTAAAACCCAGTTAAAATACTGGTATTTTAGATATCAGATTTTTTATCAATACTCAAATACTGTTGATTTGAATTTATGTCATTTATAATCAAAAC